GGAACTAGCTCTTGTAGACCATGCTGGTCTCAAACTCACAGAGATCCACTGCCTCTGCCTCCCGAGTGCTGGGACTAAAGGCGTGCGCCACCAACACCCAGCGAACCACAGATTCTTAATACAAAATACCACGTGAATGACCTGGGTAGAGTCTTCATTTCCCTCTGTCCCTTCACAAGCCCGACCTCCGTCATCTGTGCTGCTCTCAGCACTCTTTATCTTCAAGCTCACACGACAGCCTGTTAAGCATTCAGTGGCTTTTCCAGCACAAAGTTCCAAACACTAACACAATTGTCCCCAAAACATGGCTACTACGTCTGTCATGATACTCCAGGATCCTGATGCTAGTTTCTGGCTTTGATAACTTTCTGTATTTGTAGGGAAAAAAACAAACGGGGGAGGAATGGGTTTATTTCTTTTTTTAATGGTTTAGTCCATGAAGGGTAGTCAGGTCAGGATCTCAAGGTAGGAGGCCATGGAGGAGACTGCTTCACTCAGACATTTTTTTCCTAATGCCACTTGGGACCAGCTGCCATGGGCGGCACCACCCCAGTGTGCTGGGCCCTCCCACTCAATCAAACATGTGCCCTACAGCTTGCCTATAGTCAGTCTGACAGAGGCGTGTTTCTCAGTTGAGGTCCCTCTTCCAGATATGTGCTCGTTTGTGCCAAGCTGACAAAAACCAACCAGGGCAATGATTAATCTAAGTTGTTTATGAAGAGTTTGTATAAAGTTTTATGACAGGGTGTGTGGGGTGTGTGTGTGAGAGAGAGAGAGAGAGACAGAGACAGGACAAAGACAGAGAGACTGGGTGTTGTGTGACCTTGGGTTTTTTGTTTTGTTTTGTTTTTTGAGACTGGATCTCTCAGTGGCCCGTGACACAGCTGGCTGTGCGGCAAGCCCCAGGGATGGCCCAGGTCTCTCCCCACCCCCCATATAAAGGTTTTGAGTGCTTTTTTACATGGGTTCTGGGATCTAAGTCAGCGCCCCATGCTTGCTCAGCAAGCACTTTACCAAGTGAGCCTCCGTGTGAGGTTCTCATAAAACATTAGCCATGTGTTCTCCGCAAGCCTCAGATCGCAGCATTGTAAATTAGGAAGGTGGGGAAGTTTACGCAGTTGTTATGCCTCTCTCACAAAGTTACATTAAATGGGGTCATCTGAGATTCTCCTTGGAAAATGGCAAGGCTGTATGGATAGACTGTGTGGGTAGGTTGTGTGGATAGGCTGTGTGGGTAGGCATGGTCTCTAAAACGAGCATTACTCTTTTGGTTTTTCAAGACAGGGTTTCTCTGTGTAGCTTTGGAGCCTCTCCTGGAACTCGCTCTTGTAGACCAGGCTGGCCTCGATCTCACAGAGATCCGCCTGCCTCTGCCTCCCGAGTACTGGGATTAAAGGCGTGCACCACCACTGCCCAGCTGAGCATTACTCTTACAGCTCCTGAGCACAGAGCCGTAGAGTGTAGACTGGGGAGCGGGAGGGGGGCACCTGAAGCTCGCTGTGCTTCCGCTGGCTGAGGGTGAATCGGCGACTTTGTCTAGGATGAGGAAAGGTCTGGCGTGGCTCGTGGTACAAGATGTTGTGGTACAAGAGTGAGCTAGAAGAGGCAGACCTGAGACTCGGCACGCACTCCTGTGGAGTCCTGGGTGAGAGTGGTCACAGTTCGTGTTTTCAGAGATGGAAGATCTGGCGGCACACGGTGTGTTCCTCCCTCCGAATATGCAAGGGCTGACTGACGAGCAGATTCAAGAGCTGAAACTGAAGGATGAGTGGGGAGAGAAGTGTGTACCCAGTGGGGGCTCAGTCTTCAAGAAGGACGACATTGGACGGAGGAATGGGCAAGGTGAGTGGCTCTTTCTCTCCTGTCTTTGCACTTGAAGACAGTTCTTTAAGTTGAGAACTTTGGGCCAGCAGGATGGCTCTGCAGATAAGAATGCTCGCATATAACCCTGATGACCTGAATCTGACGCCCAGATTCCATGATGGAAGGAGAGAACCAGCCCCACACTATCCTCGTGTGTGCAGCCTGGCACACACAAGCACACCCACACTCGCATCATATAGTAAACAAATTTTAATGTGATTTCATCGTTTCTTTGCAAAACTTCGAACATACGACACTGTGAAACTCCTACGCTGAAACCCCAGTCCAGGATGAGTCAAGCAGAGGACCCCGCTAGAGGCCTGCTTGCACCGACTTAACTGCCCCCTTCATGGGGCAGATAAGCCATGCAAATTGGCAATTCTGTGGGTCAGAAATGGACGAGTACTATACCAGTCTCCCTAACTTCAGGGACTTTGTCTCCACTGTGCTTAGTTTTAAGCTTAGGAGTTATGATTTGGTGTCACGTGCCACATTTGGACAGTTGTCAGGTAAAGTAAAGGTGTATGGGTCAGGCAGGCACACATATGTAATCCTAACACTCAGGAGTGTAAGGCAAGAAGCTCAGGGCATCCAGGCCAGCCTGGGTACGCAGAGAGACCCTGACTGAAAACAGTCGTGCATGAATATGTACATGCATTAAGTATTGTTGCTTCAGCCATCCCAGGCACTTTCCACCCACCTGTGTCTGCTTTTGAGCCTCTGTGACAGGGTTGAGTCACAGCTTTGTAGCCTGAGAGGCCTAACATTCTTTTCCTTGGTTTGCTGGCGCTGTCCTCTCAGTGACTTCTCTGGCCTGTTTTTGCAGCCTTCATCAAATTGCATAAAGCCTCTGTGGACCTCTCCCCTGGCTGGGATCTCTGCCCGGCTTCCCACGGCTCCTTATGTCCCTCTTGTCAATTCCAGACTTGAACACTAGATTCTCCTGACTCAGCAGGATTTTTTAAAAAGACTGTGTGTTTGACAGCTGTCTCCTGTCCTTTTTTCCCAATAGCTCCAAATGAGAAAATGCAGCAGGTTTTGAAGAAGACGGTAGAAGAAGCCAAAGCGATAGTGTCTAAGGTCAGCTCCTCAGCAGGACGGATGTTCTTGTGTCTTGAAGAATGGGTCCCAGTTAGCTGCCGCCCACCTCCCGCCCCACTGCTCTCTGCTCCCCACCTTCTGTTGCTCTTTTGTTTCTGGGGGTTTGGTTTTGTTTTTGTTTTTTGCCTTCTTTTCTTTCTCTGCCTTCCAGTGGCAAAGCAAATAAGCTCATTTGAGGAGGGCCCTGGCGTTCCCTTTTCGTGATGATGACAGTTACTGAAAGTCCTGCCAGTTCCTGCTGCACAGACAAAGGTTTTTATTGTCTTCGGGAGTGTAGGCTTCTCCCGTACTGACTTTTTTTGTTTTCTGAAGAGCTTGGAAAGCTGGGGGGGTGGGGGGTGTACCTAGACGCAGGATTTCTATGAAGCAGTGTCCCCCCCAATCGTCCCCAGTGCTGACACAAAGCCTATTCACAGGAGGAAAACAATGCCAGGGAAAGGCAGATGTGTGCCCCTGAACAAAGAGAACTCAGGGATTAAGCACCTGGGGGCTGGAGAGCTGGCTCAGTGGATAAAGGTGCCTGCTGACCTGAGTTCGAAAGACCTGAGTTTGATTTCAGGTCCCACCTGGTAGTGAGAGAGAACTGACGCCCACAATTGTCCCATATGTGCTGTGGCACATTACAGACACACGCGCGCACACACGTAAAAAGTCTTTGGTATTTTTCACTTGCCGTGTTTATCTGTGTGGGCAACAGTCGCCTCCGCCCACGTTTGCACATCTTGGCATCACTGCTTCTCCTCCCACACTTCAGACTCACCTCACAGAGAGTGAGTCTAAACATTCCTCAATCTCTTAGCTGACCTTTTTGAATTAATTCATTATATTTCTAAATTTCTAAGACTTTTTCCTATGTAGCCTTGGCCAGCCTAATACTCAACCATGTAGCCCAAACAGCCTTTGAACTCATGGCAGTCCTCCTGCCTCAGCCTCTTGAGCTAGGATTACAGGCGTGCACCTGTGTGCCTCCTGCCGCCTCCGAGGAGCCCCGGAAAGCTGCCTGTTGTGTGTGAAGTCCTGACGTCTCACCATGACCTTAGTCCGTCATTGTCTGTGAGCTGATGTTTGACCAGAGAGAGATATTTGACCTCCGTGAAGAGAGATGAACCCTGGCCTCAGAGCCTGGTTAGCAGCGTCCTTATCCTCAGCACTCTCCTCTCTGGGCATCACAACCATGGCGCCTCCACCTCTGCAGTTACCTCAGACCACTGTCCTCTACAGCTTGGAAACTCTGGATTCTAGAACTGAATTCCCTGCTACCCTCACCCTTCCATCTGCACTCTGTACCTCAGAATCTGTGTCCCCTGGGGGTTCCTGATCACAGAACCATAGTGTCTCCACTACACGGTTGCATAGACCTGTGTAATCCTATGTCACCCTCGGTGTTTCCCTGTCTGTCACTCATATGCCTGCATCTGGTCCTGTGCCTGTGCTCCTGAGCCTGCCTCCTCTCATTTTACACCCTGCCTCCTCGTTGTTTAAAGCAGGAAATGAAACACTTAGTTCAGTTCTGACCCTAGCACCCAGTTAGCACACAGCCCAAGAGTTGGGAGTCAACACTCACTTCAGATCCCCCAAGGCCACCAGGAAGATGTCAGAGCTGGCTTCAAGTGGGGTCCCCAAGCTGTCCACACTTCTGTCCCACTCACCCTCTAATGTGGAGCTTCTTGTGCCCCACCCCCGGGCTCGTTTGAGTAACCCAGAACTCATTGAGTACCCTGTAGCCCTGACTGCAGCTTATGAGGGACTCGTCACAGCCCAATAAGAAGAAAAGGTGTGAGGCAAAGTGGGAGAGGAGGCGCGGAGCCCCAGGGCCATGGGGCAGCCCATGGGGGTCACGTGGCTGTGAAGCCCCAGGGTTTTCAGGAGGGTCTTGTTAGACAGGCATGATTTGGCCACCTGACTAGAACAGCCTGTACTTGCTCTGTCCTCCTTTCAGGTAAGAGCAAGGCCGGCTGTTTCAACGCTTTAGTTGTGTGTTTGGTCTCCTGGCACGGCCAGCCCTTTTCTAGAAACTATCTTTTTTTAGTCCGTTTTGTTGCTATGGTGAGATACCTATGACTGGGCACTTGATGAAGAGAAGAGGTGGAGAGGCCAGAAGTCAGATGAAATGATCCTATTTGTTTGGCCTACAGGAAAGGTCCTCCAGTCTTTGTCACAAATGCAAGGAGGGTCGCCTTACTTTATGACAAACCGCAGGAGAAATAACCAGGGTCCCTTGTAGCTGTCGCACTCAACGATCTAATCACCTTCCACTGGGCCTCACTCCCAAAGACTCCAGCCCCTCTCAGCATTGCTAGCGTGGACTGTTTCCTGTGCCCGCCATGACCTAACACTGTTGGTGCAGACTCGGCTGTAATAAAAGGAGCAGAAAGGACAGACAGCAGAAGGGAGACGGGAGGTGCACACAGGGTGCTGGGGTCGGGGAGCCCCTGAACTACACATGAAGAACTGTCTCAGGCAGATGGCTGGGACTGGAGAGGTGGCTCAGTGGGTAAAAGTGCTTGCTGCTCCGGAGCCCAGGTCTGACTCCAGCAGCCACCTGGCTGCTCACAGAGTCTTCAACTCCAGTTCCAGAGCATCCAGTGGCCTCTGTCCACTGCCGGTGTCAGGTACACACAGTACAACACATGCAAAGCTCCCGTTACACAGACCTTTTCTAAAAGCTACAAAGGACATTCCTGGCACTTAGTGACCCCAAGGGCTTCTGGCCTGCTTAGAATTGGGAACAAACATTAGATACAGTTTTTACATAGATCTCTCTGTTCTCTTCAGAGCATCCTGGCTGATGTCCCTCCAGCTCAGTCCGTATTATACCCACTGCAGACCCTGGAACTTGGGATCCATTTCCTAGCACTTGGTGGGCTCTGGTTGTCGATACTCAATGACACCTGCCCAGGGCTGTACCTGTGTGACGCAGCCTGCTCCCCCTCCTCCTCTTCATTCCTCCCAACTATGCTGCTGTGTGTGGGTCTGCCCTGAGCGCTGCACACCTCGCCGGTGCTACTCACAGGGGCCTGGCCTGGGCCACGGTGTCCTCAGCTTAGCCCCAAAGTGGACATCAGTCACCTAGAGAGCGGCAACTCTCTGGTTCCTTCTGTGGCTATGCTGGCCGAGCCTCCGGGGGGAGCCTCTGAGAGTCTGGTATGGGGTCCTGCCTGTGTTTATTGGCTTGATAGTGATGTCTGGTCCACTTTCAGAAACAAGTGGAAGCTGGAGTCTTTGTTACCATGGAGATGGTGAAAGATGCCCTGGACCAGCTTCGAGGCGCAGTGATGATTGTTTACCCCATGGGGCTGCCACCGTATGACCCCATCCGCATGGAATTTGAAAATAAAGAGGATCTGTCAGGAACTCAGGTGTGCGCAGAGGTGTGGGGAGAGCAGGGTGCCAGGACAGGGCCTCCAGCCAGGCTCCGGGTGCCGGGTCGGGGTGTGTGTGGCTTCCCTGCAGTTCTGTGGTCGTATGATTGGCCCCAGGCAGCACTGGAAGTCATTCAGGAGTCAGAGGCACAGCTGTGGTGGGCTGCCAAGGAGCTGAGAAGAACGAAGAAGCTTTCCGACTACGTGGGGAAAAATGAGAAAACCAAAATCATCGTCAAGATCCAGCAGGTAAGAGTGTGGCTCCTGCCCCCAGAGGCAGTGTTGTGTGTCATCCACCTTCGGTTTGATGGAGGTTCGCAGAAAATCCTAACGATTTGGAAACCTGTGCATACTTTGAGCCCTTATTGACACCAATTTAAAGTAGAAATTTCCTTTTTGCATCATTTCAACCAAAAAAGCAGGTCCACGTGCAAAAACATTCCTAGTGGTGAACCAAAACTTCAGCCAGGACGGATTATAGGGCACTTGCAGCTACTGGTGTTCTGTGCTGAGAAGGGTTGGAGGCATGGGAAGCCATCGCCTGTGTAATTGTGGCAACAGGCCTGTAGGTTTCTGCCTCCCAAGGGGTGGCCCCGAGGTCCTCCCTTCCACACAGTGGCTCACTTAGGAATGGCCATGTTAGAGACGGCGCCCACGACAGGGCCAGAGCCCCGGCCGTGCTGGTCCCCTGGCCCCATGTGACTTGTCAGCTTTGCTGCCTTCTATATTGGCAAAGACGGTTATAATAAAATAAGCGCCTGTTACGTTCTGATGTCCCCTGCAAGGCTATCTCAGTCCCCAGCTTCCTTTGCTTTTGCCTTTTCAGAGGGGGCAGGGTGCCCCGGCCCGGGAGCCCATCATGAGCAGCGAGGAGCACAAGCAGCTCATGCTGTTCTACCATAGGAGACAGGAGGAGCTCAAGGTAG